AAGAAAATTAATTTTCAGCCATTCTCGATGGGTGCTACCAGTTCTTTTTAGAAAATTCTTCTACTGGGAAAAGATCTTTTACTAGAACAACTATTAAAATAAAACCTTCGCAGAACTCAATCATCTTCACTCTAATCCTGAATAGCTTATCGAGCACATTGCTTGTAAACACTTAAGGAAACAAACCAAGTTTATTTCCTTGCTTGGAAATTTTAAGAGCAACATGCCCAAAACATAATTAATTGATCCATGTCTCCTCGGAAAGAGTTTTTTTATCATGTGCAGCTGTCTTGGACCTCAGCTGTGCCACATTTTAACAGTTTTACTTATGGCACAGGTGAAACTATGGAAAGCAGGCTTTCTAGTGACTCAGCAGAAAAGGATAAGGGATAATTGGATGATGGTTTAGGAATTCAGAAAACTCTTAATAGGTTGGAGCAATGGGCTGAATCTAACAAGATGAAATTTTACGGGGATAATTTAAGATTCTTTATTTGATTCAAAATAACAAGTGAACAAGCACAGGCCAGGATTTAGCAGTGGGGCTGTTGAAATCACAGACTGATAGAAACTGAAAAGCCTTTACGCCTTAACCACTTACAAAAAAGGCAAATACATCTACATTATATCAGTGGTATAATAATGCTCTCAGGGTCTGTTAGAGTGAGTTCTGTTTCTTCTGATGATCTTGTGGATTACGTAGAGACAAGATATAGGAAGTCATTAAATACATAAATTTTATAAAAAGTGTCAAGAGTGTGTTTAAGTAAAACAAGCTTGCCAATTAAAAAGATAAATTAATTTTATAGAAATATCACCTACATGCAAAACTTCAGTTCTTAAGGGTGTCAGATTAATAAGGGATCCTTCAGTCCCCGAATTTCTGAAGGTTTACATATTTTACTCATTTTTTTGATTGAGTGTCTCTGTTTTAAAGATGGGAGAGCTGCATTGCTGAAGGTTTACTGCTTTTTCCCAAGATTTAATTGTGATTTATGTGAAAGAAGCAGATGTGTAAGAATGGGAGCTTGTCTTCTAACCCCCATATGAAATTTTTTTGCTGCCAGTTTTTTTGCTATTTGGAACTGTTTAATTCTCTATTATTGTACATTTTAGGTTTTGTTTTGCAAAATAGGAAATACAGCAATGAACTTATGTACAGTGTTTTTTTATTTAGGATGTTTTCTTAAAAAATTCTTTGGCTTGGGATTATTGGTTTGTATCAACTTGGACTCTCTAGATTGCAACTGACAGTCTGAACTCATAAGCACAAAAGGAGATGCACTTGTTACTGTGAGTGAACTGTCCACAAGGGGAGAAACGGCTTTGGGCTTGTCCTTCAGGTGCTCTCATCAGGATACTGTTTCTCTTCCTCATTCCATTCTGCATTCCCCCCCACTTCATTCTTCAGACTTGCAGCCGCTGGCAACATTTTCAGAGAAAAAGACCCACTCTCCCAGCATCCCTGTTTCATTCTGATTTTCCCTGTTTGGGTTATATGCTCACCAGTCATTTGGAGCCAGGCAGGAAGTTTCCAGCAGGAAGGGATATGCAGCAAAGTAACAGATGTTTACAGCTTGGGTCCAAAAGAATGAGGTATGTTCAGGATGATGGGTTCTGCACACATCAGACAGGTGTGTGTGGCACACTTAGAATTCTGGAACGCTTAGCGCCTGGAACACTTAGTTTGAAGCTGTGAATCCACTAATGTTTACCTTACTATATCTAGATAAAATAACATATATAGGATTGCTATCTACCAGCCATTCGCTTCCTCTGTAATACTTTTTGAAATTGCCATTGAAGAGATTAATTGTGGTTGACAGTATATATTCAGTATACGGTATGAAGTTATCTACTGTGTGGAAATTTAGCTCTTGAATATACTTGGAGTCATTTTTTAATGTACAGCTAACGTTGGAAAAGGCGGTGTAGAAAAATGACCTTTTCTTTCAAAGACCACAACAGAAAACAGTTGGGCAGATTGGCAGTTGAGGTCGAGGTCAGATCTGTGTGGGTCCTGTAGTGGCGGTGAAGGTGGGAAGGTGAGGAGACCCTGGAAGCCAAGGAGGGACAGGAGAGAGGAGTGGATAATAGGAGGGGCCGGAGGTTTCCAGTCTGGCCTAAACTTTGTAAGAAGAGTTACTCTTCTAGGCTGAATGGCCTTTTTTTTTTCTTCCGGTTGACATTTTTTTTTTTTTTTTTTTGCCCCTCAAAGAATGGTTCCATTCTTCTGGTCAACACTCAAGAACACCTGATCTAGAAAAATTTAGCTCTAAGATTTTATAATAATAATAATAGCATCAACAATAGCTGCCATTTAGTGGACTCTTCTTATATTTCCAGTACTATGCTAAAAACGAATTATAACAGTGAATATGGCATTAAAGAACTTTTCTTTTTTTTTTTTGCGGTATGCGGGCCTCTCACTGCCGTGGCCTCTCCTGTCGCGGAGCACAGGCTCCAGACGCGCAGGCTCAGCGGCCATGGCTCACGGGCCCAGCCATTCCGCGGCACGTGGGATCTTCCCAGACCGGGGCACGAACCCGTGTCCCCTGCATCGGCAGGCGGACTCTCAACCGCTGCGCCAGTAGGGAAGCCCTTAAATCTTTTTGTTCTCCAAAGTTTGTCTCAGTTATAATTCTTAAGAAGCATCTCTAGGTTTAAAAAAAAAAAGTCCTAAACCAACATATTAAAAAAACCTATAGTGTTTATAGACATTTTCCACGGGTAAATGTTCAGTAATACTTAAATGTGTAAGGGAGTTTCCATTTTTTAATTTTTGGCTTGTTTCACATTCTGTTTCACCAAGTTGTAACTTTAGTAAACAAGAGGCTTTGGTTTTCTCTATCTGCGGGTTAGTTGGATTTAACCAGATGAAAAAAGTTGTTAACCAGGATTCTTAAGGAACAGGAACAAAAAGCATGTTCCTCATCTGGCTCTCGTGAGCTTGCCAGGCCCCGCCCCTCCCCGGGAAGCTCGCTGTCCTGGGGGGTGAGTCCTGGCCTGGGGACCCCCCCTCTCCCTCCTCAGGTGTTTGTCTCCTATCTGCCCTCATTGCACGAGGGATTGAGGTTGGTGCGGCATGTTTTAAAAAAATAGTCCGTAACGTGGCAAGCAGAATTCTATCTACTTTTGCAGCTGTGTGAGGAACATACCTTGGCGTCGTTGTCCTTTGTAGTGACCTAAGGAAAACTGGAATGTTTCCAGAATTCTCACTGTCCCTGAGCCTGGCTTCAGTCCCCCTTCCCAGCCTCTCAGCCTATAGCAGTAAAGGATCTAATGCGATTTCTTATCTTTTTTTTTTTTTTTTTTTTTTTTTTTGGGGTGCGCGGGCCTCTCACTGTTGTGGCCTCTCCCATTGGGGAGCACAGGCTCTGGACGCGCAGGCTCAGCGGCCATGGCTCACGGGCCCAGCCGCTCCGCGGCACGTGGGATCTTCCTGGACCGGGGCACGAACCCGCGTCCCCTGCATCGGCAGGCGGACTCTCAACCACTGCGCCACCAGGGAAGCCCTGATGCTATTTCTTGACTGACAGACCGTACACTGCCATTTGTTTCCTTCCAACATTTTATTATGAAAAATTTCAAGCATGTAGTAAAGTTGAACTCATTTTCCATTGGGCACTGTAAATCCACTATCTATTGTAGATTCTATAAATAACATTTTACTTACTGTACCTGCTTTATCACATATTCCCTCCATCAGTTCATCTTATTATTTTTGATGTATTTCAAAATAAATTAGTATTGGGGATTTTTTTTCCCCTAATCTTTTATCACAGGAAGTGAATCCTTGATTCCTGTTATAAGGATTTCAGGCTCATTAAGCAGGTGTGGAGAAAGAGCCCTGGCCAGCAAAAGGGCCAGCACAGTTCTTGCCATATGGTCGGTGTGCAGCAAATATTTGTTAAAGGAATGCAGTTCCATTAGGCTAATTTGTCTAGCCCTGTAGGCAGACTTCATTTTGCCTCATAGGACAATTACTTTTAAAACAAACCATGTTAGCTAGGTTCATGTGGCCTCCAATTTATAAGGTGGACTTGCTTCTGTAAGATAGTCCATGAAAGACAATTATTTAGAATTTGAAATGGATTAAATATATGTAATATATTTATTATATATTATAAAAGTATATATAAAGTATTTGTATTTTTACAACAGTGGTTGTCTCTCTTGGAATACGTGCCTGGCAGTTATTCCAGGGAACCCACATCTCTGGGTTGGTGCCTCAAGGATCTGCTTGAGGAAGACCCTGAAAGAGCAACTCCACCTCACATCAACCAGAACAGCTTCCCTTTAGTCTGTTTTCTATGAAATTCAGATTCCATTGCAAGGAGAAGTTTGAAAATCACAGCTGCTCAGGTTACCCGACCACTATACCAGAGCCCTAGGTAAGTCGTCGTATAGTAGGAAGTATTCTAGTAGAAGAGTATGAATAGATCTTGCTGCCCACATCTTAAATTTCTGCGTTTAGTTGGCTAGGGATGCTGCACTATCAAAATTTATCCTAGATAAAGAACAGTGAGAGTTTTCGTAGCAAGGGATTAATCGGAAGATTGTGACTCTGATGTGGGTACATATTTGTGTGTCTGTGGAGATCCCTCAGGCCCTGAGATTGAGTGTTCCCAGAATGAACAGTATCTGTATTTCTACTTCTTAGCTCCTAAAAGAAAGGCCATGCTCTTTTCCCCTTGATGAAATGGGTTTATTTTCAGTACTTTGGGGGCCGATGTCTAAATGCAGTGTGGGCAGCTACCAGAAACCTTCCCTGTTTCCAAAGCAGAGCAGGGCTCTCACCATTGGTTTCATTCTTCCTCACAAACAGGGCTGATGAATCATTTTGGTACTATGTCTTTCTTTCTTGCAAAACAACTGCAATCACGGTCATGATGTGTTGTTCACACCAGCACACTTACAAAGTGAACGGTATAGGGGGTTCTTTTTTGACTGTTACGTTTACATTTGTAACTTCCTCTTTTCTTCTCTACTTCCAATAGGCTCGGGTTATGTATGATTTTGCTGCTGAACCTGGGAAT